CGAACATTGCATTTCTCTGTGATCATCAGCCCAGGGCCACGTCTCAGGGCTGCAGTACCAGAGGCCCGGCTGGGAGTTTTCCATCCTATCTCTCCCCATACCCTAGCTTACCTCACCAAGCTATGTCTCTGCTTGTCTTTCGGCAGTTGATGTTCTGCCCACCCCGGCCCAGCCCACGAAGAAGACCACAACCAAGAAGAGAGTGTGTCGATCCCCAAACCCAGTGACCAGGAAGGGTGAGTTCTCCTACTGCCCTGAGCCCTCAGAAGTGAGGCAGACCATCTGACTCCCTTTATGCCTTCCTGCCTTCATTCACTCCCCGGGCACTACCCAGTGTGAATTCTCCGGTCTAATGCTGGGAACCGAAGGGAAACTGAGTCTGGCAGCAGTGCCCACTCTAGTGGAGGACAGACTCATGCATCATGCCTGGACAAGGACACAAGTCAGTGGGGGATGTAGTCACCCTAGAGCTTGCCAGCGAGTGCTCAGAGCAACGTTGTTCAGAATAGACGGAAAGTGGAAACAACCCACCTGTTCATCAACTGATGAATGGATAGACACGATGCAACCACACGCCATAAGAGCGGAAGGAAGTACTTGTGCATACGACAACATGGACGAACCGTGAAAGCAGCGGGCAATGACAGAAGCCATGCACAAAAGTCCATCTATGATGTGGTTTCATTTCTATGCAATGTCCGCAGTCGGCAAGACTGTAGAGACAGAAGACAGATGAGCTGTTGCCTAGGGCTAAAGGAAGGAGAGAATGGAAAATGATTCCTAGTAGGCATGGAGCTCTTTTGGCGGGGTAGACAAAAATGTCCTGAAATTAGATGGTGATCCTGGTTCCACGGTCTTTGACTACAGTTAGTCCCCAGTGTATGATCGGGGATGCCATCATAAGTCATTTGGGATACCTTTCTTTTAAAGATGTTGATTATTTTACTGCCTTTTAGTATCTTTATACACTCATTGGAGTTTCCAGCAGCTGCTCATAAAATGGAATATCTGAGAATGCCCAAACCCTGGTCCCTTGTCATTGAGTTGAATCCAACCCTCGGCGCCTCTCTAGGACAGAGTGGCCCTGCCCGGGAGAGTCCCCGGACTAGACTCTTCATTGACAGACTGCCACGGCTTTCTCCTGGGAAGCAGCTGGTGAGTTCGAACCACCAGCTAAGAGCTTAAGCACTGCTACTCCTAGGCGCCTTCTGAGAAAGAACATCGGGGAGAGTCACGCTGCACCCGGTTGCTAATGATGAGATGTACAGGGGAAAAGATAGCTGTTAAGTGCCGTTCATCAGACCTGACGTTCATCATCAGCTAACAAGGATGCACTTCTCAAACAATTGACTTACACACCGCATGATACCTAAATTACATCTCAATAAGGCTGTTACTAAACCAACACCCAACAACCCCAAAGAAAAGCATTTTAAATTTGACCTAGTCTGACATCGAACAGAGACCCTAACATACCCAAAACCCCAAACCAAACTCACTGCCACTAAGTCAATACTGATGCACAGTGACCCTAAAGAACAGGGTAGAGCTGCCCCTGTGAGTTTCTGTAACTCTTTATGGGAGTAGAAAGCCCAGTCTTTCTCCCACAGCGAGGCTGCTAGTTTCAAACTGCCGACCTTGAAGGTGGCAATCCAACTCGTAACCACTATGCCACCAGGGCTCCTGCCCCTACACGCAGTGTGTGCTAAATACATGATTGATAATAAGTGAGCAAGTGTGCCTCTCTGTGCTATGGGCACCAGACACAGCAGACACCATATTCCACACGCACACTTTCCTTTGAACCTATTGGTTCAGTTCAGGCACAATTAAGAACAAACAAACACAAAACACTTAGACAAAGATGCAAAAACTAGGTCTGTGTCATTGGGCTGCGATCTGCAAGGTTGGCAGTTTGGACGAAGCCACCGTGGAGAGTTAACAGTGTCAAAAGCGCGCAGGAGCAGTTCTAGCCTGTCCCAGAGGGTCACTATGGGTTGACATCAACGTGATGGTGGTGAGTTTGGGAGTTTTCTCAGTGTTACTGAGACTCCCCCATGTTGTCATAATGGGGAGGGGAGCAGGAGGCAGGCAAGGGCATTCAACCCTCCACCCTGGGTGGGAGCCGCCTCTCTAGCCTTGGCGAGTTCCCTCCAGTGATGGGGGACTCCCACCCCCTCCACTTCTTTCTACAGCCTACCTGGCAGGGGCTCTCAAACTAGGAGGCCCTGTGCCACATCCTGGTCCTGTCTTTTAGTAGCTGGGTGACCTTGGGCTTGGAATGTAGCCTCTTGGAAGCTTGGTTTTCTCAACTGCAAAGTACCTGTTCACAAGGTGGAAGCTTGCAGTTAGTGACCTGGCTCATAACAGGATTCAGTAAAACTCATCTTCCCTCCTTGACTTGAAAATCTTTAAAAAATTGTTGGCAGGCCCTATTCTACCTCAAGCCCAAATTTGTATCCTTTTCCTTTCGAGCCTGGAGGCCTCCTTCTGCCCCTCAGCTGCCCGCAGGGACCATTTGCAGGGGTGTAGGAGGTATCGTTAGGGTTCATGGCACCCATCAGGTAAACGCTGCTGCCGAAACAGCAGACAAAGGAACAGACAGGAAACCTCTGGAAGAAAACTCATCCAAACCATCAGTACGTCTAGGAAACTAGGCTGACGCCACAAGTAATCAAGGACTTGAAATGAAACACCAATTTCTGGCCACCGGGTTGTCAAAACATTGAAAGCATTGATAGGGTTGCAGTGTGTGTGGGTTGTCCCCTCTCTTATGCAGGTGCCTTTCTGAAGCAGATATTGAGGGTGGGAATATGACTTGGCGCAGGCTTTTGGGGAGGCAATCTGGCAATATCTAGTATCACTTGGAGTCCCTGCATGGTGCAAAAGAGCCCTGGTAGCATAATGGTTATGAGTTGAGTTGCTAACCAAATGGTCAGCAATTCTAAACCACCAGCTGCTCCAAGGGAGAAAGATGAGGCTTTCTACTCCTGTAAAGAATTATAGCCTCGGAAACACAAAGGGGCAGCTCTACCCTGTCCTATAGGGTGGCTGTGAGTTAGAAGTAATCCGATGGCAGTGAGTTGGTTTGCATGGTACAATGTTTCATGGGCTCACTGCTCACCTAAAGGGATCAGTTCAGGTTCACAAAGAAGAAAGGCCTGGTGATCTACTTTGGAAAAAAAAATCACTCCCTGGAATCTGTGGGGCAGAGTTCTACTGTGACACCCTGAGGTCACCTTGAGTCGGGTGGCCGGCACTAGCAGCGGGGTCAGGTTTTAATACAATTTGAAATGTATTATGTACTCTATGATCCATCAACTCCCACCCTAATATCTGCTTCAGAAAGGCACCTGCATAAAGAGACCAGTACCAGGAAGTTCTCCCCAGAGCTGTTTGTAAACAACAATCTTTAGTTTAACCAAGCCGTTCAATGCTTCTCTGCTGCTAAAGAGAACACACTGACTTGGTTAGGCAAAGATGATGATGAAGAAGAAGAGGAAAAAGGAGTTTCAAAACAATTTCACACAGTATAACCCGCTGTGTACTTGTTGTGACACCATCTGCCTCAAGACCTGACTGCCACCGAGGTGATGCCGGCTCGAGCAGCCGTGTGGCACACACAGAACTGCCCCTGTGAGTTTCTGAGACTGAACCTCTTTAAGGGAAGTAGAAAGACCCATCCTCCTGAGGAACAGCTGGTGGTTTCGAACTGCTGACCTTTTGGATGTGGCCCAACTTGTCACCACTATGCCACCAGTGAGCCACTATGCCTATGTAAATCTAAATATAAGCAAAAGATACCAAATTAATACTGGTGCCTCCCTTATAGGGCACTCTGACCACAAGCTGGAACCTTTTATAATGAAAATATAGTCGGCTACTTCATAGGAAATTGAAATGACAGAGTTTGGCTTGTTTGTTTAAGTAACAATTGCCAGGCAGGAACACGGTCTGCTTCCTTTGAACATAAACAGTGAATGAGCTTAATGGATTTCTTCAAATGTCCGTGTGAGGCATGCCGTGTGACTCAGTTAGCTCAAGAATACTGGAAACTGCATGATACAAAGGCTAGAAGGAGATGCGGCAGATGTGAACGGTGATATTCCCTGGAAGGTGGGGCCACCAGTTGATTTCTTCCTTGTCCCGTTCTGCATCTTCCTCTCTTGAACTTTCTTCAATGTCACACCTTCTCTTCCCAGGCCCCTCCTGCAGCCCTGTCACCCTCGGCCTGTTGGTGACTGGCATCTCGGCTCTGCTCGTGTCGCTGAGTGTGGCCATCCATCTGCACTGTAAGTCCTCTTGGGGACGTCATGGTGACCCATTTACTATCTGGGGTGTCCCTTGAGGGTACGTTCTTCTCTAGGGGAGCAGATCTGATGGCACCCTGGTAGAAATTTCCACCGAGCAGCCATGAGACTAACTTGATTCATGCCTGGAGGCCCAGTTGTTGGCAAGAGCACTGTCTTGTCTCTGGAGTTGACGAGCTCAGCTTGGGGCCAGCCCTGCTGCTTCCAGATCTTGGGCAGGCTTGCAGGCCTCCTAGCCCCCGCTGCCTCAGCTGAGAACAAGGTTGCCTACCTTCCAGAGTTCACAGCTGCCCCGTGTGCCTGGAACCTGGTCTGGGCTCGGTAAGTGGATACTTTACTGGGAGAGGAAGCTCAGGGCACCAAAGACATTTCAGGTGAGGGTGTGAGTTACGTCTCCAGAAACTACAACTCCTCGCACTCCGTCGGCGAGGCCTTTGGGAAACACAGATGGCTGCTGCCCCTGAGATGGAACCATCTCCTTCACTGGGCTTTACCAGGCTCCGCGAGGAGCTGGGCTCATGCTAAAGGCGGGAATCTGGAGAGCTGGCCCGCACGGCTGCCCGAGGGCTGGGAGGCCCAGATGTCACTCCGGGTTCTGCCATGCACCTGTGCCACCTTGAACATGTCGCTTACCATTTGGCTTCTCTGAAGTGGGGGAGGGGGCATGGGGGGGGGCATCAGAAACAAAGACTAGCTTAAACAAGTTCTCTGCCATCAATTGAGTTTGACTCACAGCGACCCAATAGGACAGAGTAGAACTGCCCCGTGAGTTTTTGAGGCTGTAACTCTTTGCAGAAACAGAAAGCCTCATCTTTCTCCCGCAAAGCAGATGGTGGGTTCAAACTGCTGACCTTGTAGTTAGAAGCCCAATGCATAGCCGAATCTGCCACCAGGACTCCTGGACCAGACTAGAGTCATGAGCCTTAGCTTTTATAGGTCATAGACCCCTTTGAACATTTGGAGACAATGTGGCCCTTTTACAGAGAAACACCTGCACACACTTGGGCACACAATGGTCACCATAGTGGGGTCTCTCTAATCCCAGGAGAGCCTTGGAGTCTAAAAGCTTTTTAGATCATGGGCCTTATCAGTGAAAAACAGCAACAACAAAATGTGACTATGACCTGCAATTCAATGTACCATATATGCTCGTGGATAAGTCAAGTTTTTTGGCATATTTTTAATGTAGTTTTTGTGGTAAAACTAGGTGCCTCAGCTGATATTGGTCAGTTTATACTCAAATATATACTGTATTTGTTTGATATATATTGTTAAATGTACTTCAAAAATAAGAAAGCAATAGAGGGTGAGATGAGCGTGTAAATATATATATTTGTGTTTTCTGCCCCCAGCCCATGGGGGCATTTTGCAGACCTGCAGAGTACATGGGCAAGAGCCCTGGTGGCCCAATGGGCTAAGCCCTGAAGGTCTGCATTTTGCATCCACCAGCCTCCCTCGGGGAGAAAGCTGGGGCAATCTGCTTCCATAAACATTCAACCAAAAAACCAAACATGCTGGCTGACATCGAGTCAGTGCTGGCTCAGCGATCCCCTGTGGGTTTCCAAGACTACAACGGTTTACAGGAATAGAAAGCCCCATAGCAAGCCCCATCTTGCTCCCAAGGAGCTGCTCTGTGGTTTTAAACTGCCAACCATGGGGATCACAGCCCAACTCATAACCACAACCCCACCAGCCTTAGAAAGTCTGTGGAGCAGTGCTGTTCTGTTCTGATCTGTTCTGTAGGGTTGCAATGAGTTGGAAGCGAGTCAAAGGCAGTGTTTTTTGTTGGTGGTGGTGGGGTTTTTTTTTTGGGGGGGGGTATTGATGATTGTTTGCTTTTATCAAAAAGGCCGGATAGCGTGTTTAAGGGCCTGGTTCGGGGATAGATGACTGGCCTTGAATTCTGGCTTTACCAGTCATGATACATGATTGCAGTCAAATTCTTGACTCACTTTGAACCTGTTTCCTATGTATAAAGTAGAGAAAATCCTAACAGATCCCAACTCCCAGACCTGCTGAGCATTAAGACAATTGCAGTGTGAGAATTGTTCAGGGCCGAGCAAGGCACCTGGGAAGCATTGGTGTGAGCTGTGCCCACCACCGCTCGGCTCGGTCCCTGGGCCTGGGCACTGCCCTCACTGACTGGTCCCCTTGCTGTCTTCTTTCAGGCCTGTGGAGGAGAGCCCGGCTGCGCTTTGTGAAACAGTAAGTGTCTGTGACCCCAGAAAAGCAGCCCGCTGGGCCCTGGGTGTGACCTCGGCTCCTTCCTTCCTACTGCTCGCAGCCGAGAGCCAAAGCTCAGGCATCTCCTTCCCACACCCCGAAACAGTGCCAGTTAATGGGGGAGAGGAGCCACGCACAGAGCTCGCATAAGCAAAAACTGATTTGCCATCTAACTTTATTCCATGGTCAGGTTTAGCTCTTAGCTCCCCTGCCAGTACCTCTCAACTCTTGCTTGCTGACAACACTGCACCCAGGGCGTCCCAAACTCTGTGCCCCCCATCATCCCCTTCATCTCCATCCTCCTTGAACCTGGAGGTTTACCACCCCTGCTGTACAGTGGGGAGACTTGTTCAAAACCTCCAAACTAGTCAAGAGCAGAATCAAATTCAAAGACAAGCAGGTTCATGCCATGGCCGCTGCTCCCAACCAGGGGCCACTCACTTTCCCAGAAGCTGCGGCTGTAAGCTGGTGGCCTGCCCTGGTCCCATTGTCTGTCCTGGACCCCACTTGGGTTCCAAGAGCTGGCAAAGCCATAGGTTGAGTGGCATAGACGGGGTGGGGGGTGGGGGAGAGTAGGAAGAAAGGCCTAAGGACCTACTCGTCCCCGCCCCCCAGTTGTGCTCCCAGTGGAGCACAATTCTGCTCGTGGAGTTGCTGTGAGCCTGAAGAGACAGAAAGGTAGCTGTTGTTGGTCCTTTACCTTGGTGTGTAAGTGTCAACACCGAGCTCTTGGGCGACTTGGAGTTGACCCCCGCTTTGCTGTTTGCCATCTGTCTCTCTGACGGGGAAACTCAACAGTACTCGCCTGAAAATAAGAGGTTCCACAACTTGCTGTTTTCCAGGTTTTACAAATGAACCAAGCCTACGCCTTCGGTGTCCTGCATTGGTCAATACTGAGCAAGAGCAGGAAAAGACACAGGAACTCAGGAGACTTGGCTGGCCTGCTGAAGCTGCCTGCTTGGAACTGCGGCTGCTGCTTTCTGCGGCCCTCCGCCTGGGAGCACGGTGGGAGCCGGTCACCAGGAGTCCTACGGAGAAGGCTTCAGGTCCTCAGGACACCATCCGTCTATCACTCAAAGGCTGTGCTGAGGATTGAGAGGGAGATGCTGCCCTGACACAACTCTCAACTTCCGGTTCCTGGACTTGCATGGGAAGAGGCCTGGACTTGGGTGTTGGTAGTCCAGCCTCCATCTTCGCATGTTGCTTTGTCCTGGTTGGGAAGTGACAGTGGGCCCAGGGTCCCTCCTGGGATGGGGCAGGGGTGGCTCCCCGTGGGTTCTGCCAGGGGGGGAATGACCATCCTGGCAGAGAAGGCCCGAGACCAGACCCCGTCTGGGCTTCTTGAGAGAGACGAACTGGCTCCCAGGCACTGCTTCGGTGGGGATGCTGCTTCCGCTCCCAGCAGGAAGAGTCTCAGCTTTGACTTCAGTTCCTCTACAGCTTGTATATGTCTTCTCCTGCTTCTCCGCGCTCCTAAAGAAAATGTCTTGCGTGTAAAAATAAAAGGCCCAAGTCAAAAGAGGAAAAAGGCTCTTGTGGGGTGAAAACGCACATGCTGGTTGACAGCGAAGGATTCACTAGGAGCATGTGGTGCACCCCACTTCCCATCTGAGTCCCTTCTTGGCCCCCTAACACTCTGTAGGCCACCACGTGAGTGTGGAGAATGCCTAGAGAGGTTGGGAAACAGACAGGTGCCTCTTGGGCCACTCCCAAGCTGCCTTCATTCGCACCTGCCTGTCACTGCTGAGAGGTGAGCCCCAGGGACTCGTGGACCTGGGGAGAGCTCAGTGACCGCATGTCCACTGATGTCCTGTCATCTCTTGGCTCTGAGCGCCAGAGAAAGGACATGTAGGGAGAAAGGGCTGAGCTGGAATGGGGAGTAGAGAGGAAGAGCTGGTGCCTTTGGAAAAAGGTGACCTGGATGAGTCTCAGTTTTGCTCCCTCCACTTGACCTTGAGCCACATGAGAATCATTGAACCAAAACAAAAATAAGAGAAAAGAATGCAACCTGGGGCCCCATTGATAGAAGCACCGTGTCTTTTCTCAAAGGAGGATAGAGTCCAGGCGGCTTCTCCTGGCCAAGTCAGGGCTGGGAGGTGCAAGTTCAGAAGGTCATTGGTGAGCCAGGTGATGTTCAGAGGCAGCCACAGGAGGAAATTTAAAAAAAAATCTGCTACAGAGAACAGGAAAGGAGCGATGGCTTGAGGCGAGGGGGGCTGGCTGGCTTAGGGAGCCGGAGGGCACCGCAGAGCTAGGTGGGTGGGTAGGCAGTAGAGGCGGAAGAGCTGGGCATGCTGCTGGCCAGCCAAAGGTTTCTGCCCGCCAGCTCCGAGGACAATGGGACAGGCCAGCTCCCCGGCTGTGGGGAAAACCTCAGCCTTGGCGTTCCCTAGAACGGTGGGAGAACTAGAAAAAGAATGGGTCTGGGTAAGTGTGTCCAGATTCTGCCACGGTTCATTTTTAAGATAGGCTTCCCGTTCCCAGAGGGTCCATGTAAGAGATGAGAGACAGATTACTCAGATGTGGGGGTAGAGGTGGGGTGGGGGAGTGGGGGGTGGCCCTCATACCCAGTGGACAGCTGAAGTAAGACCAGGCCTCATGGCCCCAACATCTCAGGACAGATCTGGCTGCTATCCTGACTGTCGCACCCATGTATTTGAAAGTCCTCCTGGGGCGGCATGGGTGCGGCAGGCACCTGTGGAGGTAGGCCCAGCTGGGTGGGGGCCCGGGGAGACCGCTGGAGCAGGCTGGGCTGCCAGCAGCAGGGGCTGCGGTGAGGAGGTCTGCACCCGGCACCTGACTTTTGTTTTGAAGAGTGAACTGAGCGGTTCCTTCTTTCTGGGGGGCATCATGTTAAACCCACAAAAACGTGTACCCAGGCCCTGTGGGGGTCACAGTTGTACTGCTGAGCAACTTATCCTCGCTCGTCATAAACTGACATGCACGGGGGAACACGACAAATTGTTCCTTGTGGCAAGGCCTCTTAACAAGAGCAGATGGAAACGATCGAAGTGCTCATCAAAAGGGAACAGTCAGAGAAGCTGTGGGATATTTGGACAGCAGCGCTCATGTAACACGTCCGTATGGGTCGACAAACTGCGACTGCCGAACCACACATGGTGCTTTGGGCACGCACATGTGGCTCTGAAGTAGAATCAAAAAACATTATTCAGATCATGGTGATTTCATTTATTTGCAAAAATAGATTTATGGCTCGCGAATAACTTTTAAATTGTTGTGAAAGACTGGATTGGCTCTCTGTCTCAAAAGTTTGCAAACCCCTAAGCTAGAGCCCTGATATGCTAACGTCTATTGATGGTGACCACGTACCAATATAGTGAACAACGGCTTTACGGACCATCCTTAATTTAAGTGCCACTGTTAAAAATCCAGTCCAGATTAAAACAGGAAAACATATTTGTTTTGATGTTGTTAATTACCCCAGAGTTGGCGCCACTCGTGGTGGCCTTGTGTATAATGCAATGAAAAGGTGCCCATCGTCCTGTTGGTCGGGGGAAGTCAGCATATGGTGACCCTGGGGGCAGGGTGATGACTGGCACGGAAGGTTTGGGGCCGTCACGGCCTGCTTCTCCATCCGGGTGCTGGCCAGATGGGTGAGTTCAGCTTGAGGAAGCCCATCCAGCTAAGATGGACTCATAATAGATAGACTTCTCTGTCCATGTCAACCTTACTTCACTAAAGAGATGTTTTAGTATGGATTTTTCTGCACGGCCTCATTTAAAACAGAAGCAATTAAACCTTATACGATAGAATATACAGTTATGATATAGAAAACGTAGTGTAGTCTCTTCCCCGAGACCCCTCTGCAAGGGGATCTCCAGTGGCCTACAAATGTCTCGGGGTCTTGGGGAGGAGATGAGCCAGTCAGGGTGCGATGTAGCAACAATGAAACATACAACTTTCCTCTAGTTCATAAATGCTTCCTCTCCCCCCACTATTATGATCCGAACTCCACCTTGCAAGTCTGGCTAGACCAGAGGATGTACACTGGTACAGATAGGAACTGGAAACACAGGGAATCCAGGGCGGATGATCCCTTCAGGAGAGTGGTGTGAGTGGTGATACCGGGAGGGTGGAGGGAGGGTGGGTTGGAAATGGGGAACCGATTACAAGGATCTACATGTGACCTCCTCCCTGGGGGACGGACAACAGAAAAGTGGGTGAAGGGAGACAACAGACGGCAATATATGACAAAATAATAATTTATAAATTATCAAGGGTTCACGCGGGAGAGGGAGTGGGGAGGGAGGGGGAAAAAAGGGGACCTAATGCCGGGGGCTTGAGTGGAGAGCAAATGTTTTGAGAATGATGAGGGCAATGAATGTACAAATGTGCTTTACACAACTGGTGTCTGTATGGATTGTGATGAGAGTTGTATGAGCCCCTAATAAAACAATTTAAAAAAAGAAAAGAAAACGTAGTGTAGAAAGCTGAAGCTTATTCTGCAGATCTGATTCTGTTTCTCTTTTAAAATGAGGCAGAAGCAGCAGCAGTCATACAATGATGAAGGCCTTTGGGTGTATTCGTGGGAGAAACACAAGGCCTTGCACTCCCGTGCACAGGGACAGGCTCGGATACCCTGCCCCAGAGGCACCGTGAGTCGGAATCAACTCGACAGCAGTGGTTTTGTTTGTTTGCTTGGGGCTTGGGGGTCTATTTGCTTGAACAGAAGACCTGGAAACAAATCGTCCAAGCTGTGCATGGTCGTCAGTTTGGGGAATTTCTGTTGCTGCTTGGCACATTTCTATGAATTTTTATCACAATCTTACATTACTTTCGCAGTCAAGGAGAAAACGAAATGTTTGAAGAAGAGAGACTTCACTTCTTTTAAAAGGGGGCTCTGATCACTCACTTAGCAGTAGAAAGGGGAGAGGTTTGTTCAGACATTGTGATTTTTAAAGCCCATGTGGTGCTCGTCTGTGGCGACAGATTCCAAGTCCTAACTCAGACTAGCTCCAGGCCCAGGACCTTCTAGCTTCAGTTCCCCACGCTGGCTCTTCGCGGCCATCGATGGAAGGTTCTGCGGCAGGCTGGTTCCCGGCTCCCACCCTCTTGGAAGATTCTGGCTGCACCTGCAGGTGTGGAGCCTGCCAGCCCTCCCTGCGCCACCGCACCCCACCCCACCCCTGCCTTTCATCCTTACTCGTCCCCACCCCACCCCCACAGCCGCATCTCGGTACCTGTAGGAAGTGGGCAACTTGTTTTCAGAAAGTGATCCCCAGGGCCCGTGGGGGCAGCAAGCTGATCCGAATCTATCACCCAGTCAAAGGGAAAGCGAGAAAGGGCCGCTTCTACCTACAGAGGCCTTGCCTTTCCCGCTGTGGCGGTCTAAGGAGACTTCCCCTGTCACTTCTTGGGAAACCTCCCCTGCGCGTCACTGACTCTCCTGAGTCATTGGTCCCCCGGCCTCCCCTCGAGGAGGAGGGGGCCCTGTTCCCAGGCCTGCAGAAGTAGGCTGACCGGGACTGCTCTCCCGCAGAAATCAGACGTTTGGAAAGGCTCCCAGGGCTCCCCAGCCTTGTCCTTTCTCCATGAATCCGCAGTACTGCATGTCCACCCTTCTTAGAGCGTGGCCTCCGAAACTCGCAAGGGAAGCCACCTACGTTTCTCTCCATACAGTTTAAAATGTGAGCCCCCCCAGCCCCCCCAGTCCTGACCCTCATTTATCACTAAACCAATCACCCTGCCCCCTCTCTGCCCAGCGCTCTTTTCCATAAGCTTCATATAGGATATTATATATATACATTTTTACTAATGCTTTTCTTCATGGCTTATAATTTTTATGTTTAAGAACCATCTGTCTACTCCGAAGTAGTAATGTATTATCATATACGCACACACACATGTGCAAAGGTAAGTCCAAAAGTCTTGTTTACTGGGTTCCGGTTCACTTGAGGCTTCAAAATT